TCTCATACCCTTTGAGAGATAATAACCATCCTATGCAAGAGATAATGGCCACCCTAAGTTTACCCAGTAAGCTTCATGCTTGAGCAGGAATTTGAGCCCTAATCAGTCCTAGTCCCAGTCCTAGTCAATGACTCCATCAATTATACTACCTTAATAGTGGTGTTGCAGAGGAGGTAGCATTTCTTAGGTATTAATTAATCAATAAATTAATTAAAATTGCATTGTAAAATTCTGCATTTCTCAGTACCAAATTTCAAGACTTACACTGAACAGTCACATCTAAAAAATGAGCAATTATACAGCGATTTTCCATTTAAATGTTATGCTCCTTAGCAAGGACAGAACTTTGTGCAAATGAGTTTGAACTATCAGAATTAGCTAATTTATAAATTGAATCAGCTCTGGAAGACCCCTGCTGTCAATGCCAGAAAAGAGGGTGAATTTAATGAGTCTTTTCAAAAATCTTTAGTGCACTAAATCTCTTCACTTCATGACATCCAACTGAAGGATACTCTGTATTTAACCAACACAGAAGCCTTTGCAATCAGTGTTAACAATGGGATTTCTTTTTCTTTCTCCTAAGCTCACCAACCTCCTTCATCCCCATCTACTATTAAATCTGTAGTACTAAAGAGGATCTGAAGCTATTCCTTTTGAGAAGCCTGGTCTCAGTATTGAGAATGACAAATGGAACAAATAAATGTGATTTGTTACATCTAATAGAATCTTTCTGGCTCAATGAGACATTTTTAGCTGGTTATTTTTAAAGTAGAACAATCTAAGGAATACAAAGGCCAAGACATGTGTCAGTGTTGTACTGGAGAGAATGAAACATAAAAACCTATCATGCAGCTTTGGGGAGAATATAGAGAATATATTCAGTCTGGAAACAACACTCTTGACATATTCTCTTCTTTGAGTGTGTCACTTTTTGCTCAGTTCTTCCTCTTTCTTCATCACTTCAGACACAAATGACTTGTAAGGCCTTCCTCTTGTAAGGCTCATCACCAGGTCTGTCAAGCCTATCACCCCTCCAAGTTTGCTCTGATGTAGTTTGACATCCAAGTTGGTTTAGTTTGATTTGCATGTTTCTATATTTTCCTCACATCTTCCTCCCTTACCAACTATAAAAGAAGATCTGGCATCAGTTTTGAAGAGCATATGGGAGAACTAATCTTTAGAGAATATATACCTGATTTAAGCTGAAGATCATTTAGATACATCTCCATGAGGTATTTTGGAGGATTAAATGTTAGGCAGAGTGAGGTGACTGACTTTGCTAGCAGGTGCTAGAGGGGAGGAACAGGACCCCTTGATTATACTACTTTGAAGTCTCAGATATAGTGGAGGATGCCATAGTAAGATAATTAAAAATTATCTGTCAATTCAGTTTCGATTCAGTTGGCTTCAATTTGCTTAGCCCTAAAGAGAAACCTGGAACAATTCTTAAACACAATTTAAGATTAACAAAACAATGATTAGTTAAGGATAGTAGTAGGAGAGGAGTATATGATCTTTCTTTTGAAACTAGTGTTGGTGTCATGTTCGACGGACTCAAATCTCAAAAACCAAGACAGCATTGTAGTGTAAAAACTAAATATTAATTTTGGATTTTAAGACAGAAGATCACCACAGACTTGGCTGTGTCAGATCTTATTTTTCCCCAACCAGTCTACCCTTTAAGAATTCCCCTCTTCCAGTCCCTCCTTCCCAAACCACGGTCCATGGTCTTTGATCTAGATCAAAGCAATTCTTTAAACTTTCTCCCTTCCCTCAGTTCCCATCTCCATTATCATTTCATCTATCCCAGGAAAGAAGATGTTCTTCATTTACCATCAGTGTCCTGCAACGGGAAATAAACAAGACCATAAACTGCAACCCCTCCTGCCACTGCCCATTTGGTTCTCAACCTTGCCTCCCCTTCTGATTATTACCCCCCCTTCAATTTTTATTTATTTAACCATAGCACTATTTCACTCTATCAATTTATCCCTATATCAACCAACCTATTCCCTTATCATGACAGATCTATATGCCTATGGATATGACAATTGGGAATGTGAAAACCATATTTGTTCCACCCCAGAAAAATCTTAGTTGAAAGCTGATGTATTCCACTAGGGCACTATTGAAGGTTCAATGTGGATGCTAATACCTTATTATCACCAAAATTTTCATGGACTTTTCCTTTGAAAACCTGCCCCCTTTTCTCTAAGAGGATAAAAACTGGCTACCTGAGGTGATGGGATCATTGCTGGCAGAGTTGCTGCTGAAGGGCAACACCATTTGGGGGAACTGCTTTGGGGTGGAGTGAGAGTGAGGTCTATTTCCCCTTGTTGAGAAAGCTGGAGAGATTGTTCTTTAGTTGGTCTGCTGGCAAATATATTATTTCATATGGAAAGCATGGTGAGTCAAGTAAGTAATGGAGCAGCCACAAGTACAGAAATGGGTAGAGGGAGATATTGTGATGGAAGACTGTTACATTACCACAATAGAGGGGGGTGTCACAGGGTACTGGTTGTTCCCACCTCAAATAGTCTGGATAGCTTTGGTAACAGACCCCTGTTCTGAAAATGTTACTGCTCAATGCCTCGTGGACAAAAATGCTGGAGCTAGACTGCTGACCGGGACTGGTTATACAGTACATACAACTCCCCTGTTGAAACAGTTTAACTAGCTGTCAGTCTGTTTCCAGGTGGAATTCAAAGTTTTCTTATGACCTATAAAGCCCCATATGACTTAGTAGGTCCAGGCTGTCTGAAAGACTTTCCCTACATGAACCTACCCAAGTTTTAAGATATTCAGGGGAAGCCTTTCTGTCATTCCCACCACATTCACAGTATGACTGGTCATGAGCCAGGAGAGAACTTTCTCAATGATTGCTTGGTACTTTATGCCAAGTAAAGCTTTGTTGGCCCTCTCCTTGCTCTCATTCTGTCAGCTGTTAAATGTGATAATTAATTTGAATCAAAGATATAAAACATAGTTAAAAGCACATATAAAAAATAAAACACCTAGTTAAGTAACATGTAAACATATATACTTATATACAACAATAGATAGCATATGTAGTTAGTTAAAAACCACATAGATATATATAATCAATATATTTAAGATTAGAGATGAAAAAGAGGCTAAACTCTGTGTGACCTCAAAGAGTTTTTTTCCCCTTCTCTGACCTTTAGGGGTAAAGAGAAAGGCTCATTAAAAAGTAGGAAAGAATTATGGTGTTCCTAGAAAATAAAATAAAAATAACTAGTGGAGCCAAAAAGACAGCTTTAAATTTTGATAGAAGCTATGCTTTGTTTTAAAAGGTTAGATCTAGGATTAAACAAAGAAGGTCTGAATCCCATAGAAATAGTTTTGGAAGAAAAACAGTTAATGAGTTGGAAAAAAATTAATTGAAATAAAATTAAGAGCTTTTAGATATAGATAAGCTGTTTGAATATATCTCATGCTCACATTATAGAAAGTATTTAGGCTTCAGGTTTTTAAATATATACACTATCATTTATTGATACATTGATTTGAGATGTGTTAAGAATAATTATTAGGCTGGTGTATATTTTTATTTTAGAAAAAAGTCTTGAACAAGTTTTATATTCATTTATAACCAAATATGCTGGGTTTGGCTATTTTGCTAGCTAGTTTTTTTTTTTGTTAACCAAAATAGATTAATTACTTTAAAAAGTTATTTCATATAGAGAAAGTGTTACGGTTTTCTAGATGACAGGTTCTTAAGTTTAATTTTTCTTTAGTCTTATAAATCACTAACTAAAATGGATAATTAGAGTTTCTTTATATTAGAATTTTGCTATAATAAGACATGCTAAGTATTAGAATGGCTAGTTATTTTGTTTGAAATAGACAGAGAACACATCTTGTAGAAATACTGTAACAATTTTAATACAATAAGAACACCAAAGAAAGATTTTTGTTTGCAGCCAGACTCAAGGGCATCTTTGGGACAGGAGGTAGGCTCAGTGTCTGGAAATTCACAGTTTTACCTTCATTAATTGCAAAGGCAACAATTTTTTTAAAAAAGGTCACTGTCAGAGTTCAAGAAAAAGTCCAACTGAGTTTGTGTAATGAAGTTAATACATAATTCTGAACCTCCCATCCATATATCAAGCCTAATTTAAATGGACATACATTGTATGTTCTGGGTGGAACTTTCCATACATGAGGAGGGTTGTCTTGAAATTGATCATATTTCGTGTTCGAGCCAATGAAAAATAAGATGGTAAATAATACTGTTATAAAAATGTATAAATAATGCATAAAATCTATAGAAAGGTGTGATCTTTTTTTATATTGGTTATTGAGACATTCAATTCTGCAGAACTGAATATTTAAAGCTTTATTAATAAATATAATTAGCTATGTTTCACCTGTCAGGTTTTGTCCTTGAATTTGTACAAGTAAATTATTAATTGAATTTCTATAGCTCACATTAAAAAACAGTTTTTAACTGCCTGATGATTTGTATTTAATGCTTTTTTTTATTTTAATGTTTTCAGCTGTATTCCTTTAATGTTGGATGCAAATTCTTTGGGTACCTCATGGGAGAAAAGTGGGATATAAATACAAGGAAAAAAACCCCAATAAAATAAAAGGTCCATTGCATGGGTGGGCAAAGTGTGCTGTAAAGATTGTCCACCCATGTGCAACAGATTTGAACAACAGAAAGTGTCTTTTATTTAGTAAGGATGTGTTATGATGGATTATGATCCATCATTATAATCATTCTTAGTATACCAAAATGTACATTTTAGAAGTTGCCCTCTTCATTCCTGGTCATGACATTCTGGAACTACTTCACAGTTCCTAACAGCCTATGTTGTTGTTGCTGTGTAGCTTCTAGTCATTTTTGTGATTTATGGTGACCCTAAGGTCATGGTGTTTTCTTGGAAAGATTTCTTCAGAGGAGGTTTGCCATTGATTGCTTTGTCCTTAGGCTGACAACATGTGACTTGTTCAGGGCCACCCAGAGGGTTTCATGCCCAAGCTGGGAATTGAACCCTGGTCTCTAGCATTATAGTCCAATACTCAAACCATTACATCATGCTGGCTCTCAACAGCCAATAGAAACAGTGTAATACAAACCTTGTTTAATCTGGAAAATCACACACTAATTAAGCTGTTACGTATATTTCTCAGACTAGAAGAGCCTTATTGGTCATAGACGTACTCTTTTCAGTTTCCTATTCTGAGAATATTGTTGTGTGTGTTTTTTTTTAAATGGAGAATGTTATTGGATTCTAAATAGGAGAATAAAATCAGATAACAGAGCACCATGCTTTAAGATGGGAGAGTAACATGTAGTCCATGCAGCATATGGGACTGCTGCTCATTTTTGCACCTGATTATTTTCTTAAACTGTGGAGAATCAAACTCTATTTACTCTTTAGGATATTGTCTAGGATCTTTAGGATCTTGCTCTTCCCATTTCTAGTCTTCTGCTGCTTTCTTGACTGCAGTCTTTGGCACAGTGTTACACAAACAAATAAATAGCCCAGTCAATAAAATATGAAACTGATTAGAACTGTAACAAATGTGTCACCCATTTTATTCACCAAATGTCACCATTTTATTCACCCATTAATATAGATATTAAGTTATGGTATAGTATTGAGAGTTTGCAACAAATTCCATCAGGGGATTTCACTCTCCCTGCACTGACCAATAAAATTAGAAGTTGCAATGTATATTTATAAATGTGTTAAATTACTACTAGATAGTCATTCATTCATAATTCACCACAAATCAGTTATTATTTGATTAATTTTTTTAAAATCCTTAGTTCTGAATTTTAGCATGCACTCAATAATTCAGTTGCAATTCCCACAATTAGACAGGGACCCAATGATTTAAGACAGAAGCCAAGAAAGTTGTATATTCTTTATCAAACCACTGAACCATGTCATGAGTTCAATGGAGCTTAAAGCATGAGTCTTTCTTTTTTCTTTCTTTCTTTAAAAAACTGCCACTCCAAGCATTTTACTTTTGTTTCTGCAAACACTCTTACTTCATTAAGCAAAGCAAAGCAAAGCAGCTTCATTTATATACCGCTTCATATCACGCTATGGGATGTCTAAGCGGTTTACAACTGTGAGCTGATTGCCCCCCAACAAGCTGGGTACTCATTTAAGCGACCTCGGAAGGATGCAGGCCTGAGTCTAGCCTGAGCCCTGGCTGGTATTGAACTCGCAACCTTGTGGTCTATGAGTGAGTGGCTGCAGTACAGGCATTTAACCACTGCATCACTAGTATTTAGGATATGGCTTGTTATTGATTCAGTTTAGATTGTGTGTTACTCAAGATGGTTCCCTTAAACCGACTTCAGTAAAAGTTGTGTTAAAGTATATGGAATACAAATTAATGAAACAAATTTAGCACTGTAAGACTACTAGACTGAGGAAATGAAATCAATCAAAATAGTACATGCACTGGTAAAAGTCTGATTAACTGAGGGAAACCAATCTTTCTAGTCTGGTGCAGCAATATTTATAGACTTTTTTGCATTTCAATATTGTACTAAGTACTAAATACTAAGTTGTTTCCTTGCTACAAATTTACTGTCAGTACTGGATTTTTTTTTTACCCTTCTGCTGAAAAGCAGAGTTTGCGGAGCCCAGGACCTCTGGAGACTACATTCTTTGTATGAAGAGAATCACTGCCAGTCAGTGTGAACTGCACTATGAACAATATTGAGATAGATGGTCATGAGCAACTCCATGTGCTTCCTGCCACAATTCCTAATTTTTGCATATCACCTTCCCTGATCTGGAGAGATGCGGTGATTTTGGAGTTCAACATTCAATTCTTTCACCATTAGCTATACCAGCTAGGAGCAATGGGCACTGTAGTTTAAAATATCTGGAGGGCAATAAATTGGGGGAAGGCTGTACCTATGCTCCTGGAATTCAAAGAGAGGAGTGGAATATATGTTACAACTATCTTAGGTATGCTTCCCCTAATAATAAATAATAATAAATTTTATTTATAGCCCGCCCCTCTGCTCAGCAATCGGGGCAGGTTACAGCATTTTAAAACATTCTTTGGGTACCTCATTGGGTACCTAGATCAGTCCCATCACCTTCACAAACATATCTGGTGGGAACATAAGACAGGACCTTCCCAATGGTTGCCCCCAGGCTTTTTGAGGGGCTAGAGTGGTGTCCTCCTTGCTGTCCTTCTGCCAGCAAGCAAAGGCTCTTTTATTCTGACAGGTTTTAGAGAACTGAGGTTTTTTTTTAAAAAAGAAAGGGCTTTTAAGAATGTGCTGTACTGTTTTAATTGTAATGTTTTTAAATTGTAATGTTTTTTAAAAATGTATTTTAATGGTATGTTTTATACCATTTAAGTATTAGTAGCAGTTTAATTCCATTTTACCATTGCTTTTTGGTATGTTTGAACTATATTCTACTTGTTGTTGGGTTTTCGGGTTTTTTTGGAGCCAGCATGGATTTTTTAGCACTGGACTACAACTCTGGAGCTCAGGTTGAAGTCCCCATTCAGACATAGAAACTCACTGGAGAACCTTGGACAAGTCATAATCTCTCAGTCTCTGACGAGGGCTGAGGCAAACCCCTTTGGAACAAATCTTGCCAAGAAAACGCCATGATAGGTTTGGTTTAGGCTCACCATAGATCAGAGACAACGATTTTATTTTATTTGTAAGCTTGATTTTGGGGAAAAGGTTAAAGTTAATACTAACTGACCCAACTTCAGTTACTCCAGCCTCACCTGGAATACTGTGTCCAGTTCTGGGCACCACAATTC